CAGGTCCTTGCTGCTTACTCCTAACCACGAATTTGAGTTGCTCATGGTGTGGTCAAGAGTGACAGAGGACCCTGAGCCATAAATGAAAGGGATAGGCCAGGAAGAGAGAGAACACAGAAACTCGTGCTCCACACAACCCGGGAAGCCATGCAGGCCAGACGCGCCTAAACATGGCCATTCAAAGAAACAGCACTTGGTTCTGCTTTTGCTGTGTTTGCTCCAAACTTCCTAGATTCCCTACATCAGGGTGTGGCGACACAAGCCATTTGGCTTTCCACTCATTTTTTAGGATGAGGGGCGTATGCTTTCTGCACTGCAGACCAGTAACCTTCATGTAACCTCAAGTCTCCGGCCTTCTCCACCCTCTGCAGCCAGTGAGGCCTTGAAAGACAAAGGGCTCTGAGCTCCCACAAGGTAAGGCTTAGAGGATCTTCTGACGCTCATTAGCCCATGACACATAAGTGAATACACTCTGTTTCCAAAAGGATTTTCTTTTAGTGCTTAGTGTCACTTAAGGTTTTGGGGAAAAAAAAAAAAAAAAAAATCACAAACAATTTAGTCTTTCAAAATGACCTAACTGTCCAAATGACAAAGTTCAAAGAAAAGATACATTTTGACTTTGCTGCATATTTGCTCTCTTTGGTTATGGTTTCTGGGAACCTTTTTTAAGTTGGGTAGACAGAAAAACAATGAGCACTTTGGGAGGCCAAGGCAGGCAGATCACAAGGTCAGGAGATCAAGACCATCCTGGCCAACGCGGTGAAACTCCGTCTCTACTAAAAATGCAAAGATTAGCTGGGTGTGGTGGCACGCACCTGTAATCCTGGCTACTCGGGAGGCAGAGGCAGGAGAATCACTTGAACCCAGGAGGCAGAGATTGCAGTGAGCTGACATGGCGCCACTGCAGTCCAGCCTGGCAACAGAGTGAGACTCTGTCTTAAAAAAAAAGAAAAAAGAAAAGAAAAAGAATGAGTAAAATGTTTGATGAGAAATCATGCTGTCCAACAAACATTTACTGAAAAAAAATTGAGTTGGATAATTCTGAGTTCTGATTCTACTACTTATTAACTATTCATCTCCAGGTAAGTTATGAATCTCCCCGAGCCTCAGTTTCCTTCCTGGAGAATGGGGCTAACTTGATACACTCTACAGGGCTGCGGTGACAATCACCATGTCATGAGGCTCCTTGCATGGTGCTGCCAGGCAGCAAGAGCCTGGCCAAGCAGGGCAGGACAGTGAGGTGTGCTGTTCTTCAAACAGCAGGTGCAACCAATGGATCATGAAATCACTTCTGTGGCTTGTGACCATCATTATGTCTTTTAGATGAACCAGAATAGAATGGATATAATAGAAAATATCAGGGCGTAAAAGCATGGAGTAATATTTGTGAGACTTTTGTTTCTGTGCATGTGTGTGCACCTGCACAAGCCCACACTAAATCATGCTGCAAAGCAGAGTTCCAATCAGGGATTGCGCCGGCCAACATGGTTTTAAAGTCCCTAGGAGAGGGTTCAGGAACTCAGGATCTGGCATATGGGATTTGCTGTAAATTCCATTTGAATCCTGGCTCTGCTGTTTACTTTTAGTTAAGTGGGTTAAGCTCTCTGTGCCTGTTTGAAAATATGTCAAATGAGGATGACACAGAATTGCTGTGAGGATGAAGTGGGAGATGGCAAGGAAAGAAGCTAACCATGTTACGGATTCCGCAAATGTTAGGAATTCTCACTACCTGTGTAACTTGTCTGCACGCAACTATCACTAAAGCACTGGATCTAAGAGGGACAAGCCCCTGTTCTCACGCAGGGCTGAGAACCAGTGTCAGTTGCCTGCTCAGGAAATGCAAAGCATTAGTGGGGTACTGACAGTGGTCAGGAATGCCGTTAAGACCGGGGTGGGGGAAAGCCAGAAAACAAGGCAATCCTCACCTTTTGTTCCTTGTGAAAAAAACATTAGATTTCTCTCTTAGGTTTTTATTGTGCATTTTTTGTTTGTTGCTGCTTCACTATTTAAATTTACATAAACAATTTGGTTAAAGGAATTCACCAAGGATCACAAAAATAGAAACAGAAGTTAATGAGCCAAGTCCTTCTAGAATAGTGAGTAGCAATAATACCCTAAAGGCCTCTACCCCAATCCTTAATTAGAAATAGTTGCTATTTATTGAGCATTCCTCAGAACCCAGAGTAGGACCACAAACATGTTCTCATCCAGTAAAATCTTCACAGCAAATCTGTGAGTTAGTAATTACTAGGCTTGGTTTAAGGATGAGGAAACTGAAGCTTGGAGGCTAAGTGACTTCATTGAGGTCACACTTGTATCAGGCAGTGCTGGAATAAAAATGTGGGTCGTGCTGACGCTTAGAAGATGCTCTGAAAGATTCTATCCCAGGTAGTCTGCTGAATGATTTCCTGGGTCGTATTAAGCATTGCACAGTCGCTCTAGACCATGTTACTTTTTTTCAACCAACATTGAGCCTTGGAGACAAAGCCATACAAAGTTAAAAAAGAAAGCTTCTATGTTTACAATGCTTGGAGATCAGGATCTACATGGATACAAAGCTTAGCAGTGTTTTGTAAGCATGCTTTCTGGACTACATACATAGAGCATTTGCTCAAAAGTAGGGTGGAAACTTATGGAACTGAACCAAAACCTGGTGATGTCAAGGTATATTTAGTCTTTGCTCAGATGTGCTTCCAAAACATTACTGGCAGAGCCAAGAATCATCTAATGTTACTTCTTTATTTAGAGTTCTTTTATGTGCACAAGCACACAACTATTTCTTATTAAGAAGCATTCAAAGTAATGCAGGGCACGTTCCTAGAACCTTTCATCCAAGGATATAAAAGTACTTTACAGACATGCGCATTATCTCTGCTGAGAAAACCTCATTTGGCCCATTTTTGAGATGGGCATAACCAAAATATAAAACTTGAGAATTTATACTCTCATTTTCTACTGTAAGCACGAAGTCATGCTTCTAACAGCCAGAGGGAATCTAACGTGCTAAACATTTCTTCCCTTTTTATCCTGAAAGGGATACTTTTTCTTCTTTAAATTAAAAATAAAAATTGTGGTAAAATACACATAGCATAAAATGTATCGCTTTTGCCGTTTCAAAGTAAACATTTCAGTGATCTTAAAGACATTCACATTGTTTTGTAGCCATCACCACCATCCATTCACAAGATGCCTTTCATCTGACAAAACCGAAGTCCTTTGTGAAATATTGTAACTCCTTATCCCCCACCTTCCCTCAGCCCCTGGTGGCCATCCTTCTACTCTGTGTCTCTGTGAATTTGACTAGTCTAGGTACCTCATATTAGGGGAACCATCTAGTGTCTGTCCTTTTGTGACTGGTGTATTTCACTTAGCATAATGTCTTTAGGGTATATCTGCATTATAGACTGTCACGATTTCCTTCCATTTTAAAGCCCCATTGTATGGATGGACCACGTTTTGTTCATCCACTCATCTGGTGACGGACACTTGAACTATTTCCACCTTTTGGGTACCATGATGATCGTGGATGTACGAAACTCTGAAATCCTGCTTTCAACTCTTTCTGGAAGTGGAACTGCTGGATCACGTTAGCTCTCATTTTTTGGGGAACTCTATACTGTTTTCCAAAGTGGCTGCACCATTTTACATTCCCACCAACAGCGCGCAGGGCTCCAATTTCTTCACATCCTCAAAATTACTTAAGAGTAATTCCAATTGTTTTAGAGGTCAGTGCTAGGATAGCCATAACTGTAGTCGGTCTAAGATAAAAATCACATTCTCCTTCCCTTCCAGTGGCATGTTCTCTATGCTTCCTAATCAATGGGCATTGAAGAGTTGTTTATATCCACATGCCCAGAAAGTTCATTTCTGCCTGGGTTTTACTCTTGTCTCCTCTGTGTTTCTCTTCTCCAGAATGTGTGTGTGTGTGTGTGTGTATATGTGATTACCCCTCATCTCCCCTCAATGACTACAGAGAGTGAGAAAAAAAAAAAAAAAAAAAAAAAAAAAAACCCACATTAAAAGAAAAAAAAACAACCCAGTCATGTGTGGAGCTGAATATGTGGAAATGTTAAAGTGAAGGACAGGATGGAACTGTGAGGCCCGATGGAAGCCATGAGGCCCCACAGCTGCAGATCCCACGCCCACCGGCTTGGACAAGGTCTATGTTGTTCATGCCTATACACCTGGAGAATAGTACTCAATGAATACTTTCTGAATTTATGTTAATATGAACCAAAGCAATGACAGGAGCTCTTATTGTACAAAGAATCCAATCTCTAGAATACTCCTTGAGAGTCACACTTCTGCAAAGGAGAAGAAAAGAAAATAGAATCAGAGTCCAGAAAGGGATGGCCAATTTAACCCTCCACCATCGGAGCAAACACTCACTGGGTCTGTGCGAAGAACACCACGCACTCTTACAACAGTGATCGTAAGAAAGATGAAGATGAAGTGCAGAGAGATGGAATTCCTTCTCTCATGTTCTTCCTTGCTAGTCTGTAACAACCTCCCGGTTAAAATCATTCACCAAGAGCTAGATTCTAAAAGTCACCGCAAAGCAACTATAAGTTTTTTAATTCTCATAGCCCACAGTTTCACAGAAAGCCCTTCGTGGAGGTAATCACCTTTGAGAAGGCAGCTTTAGTTCCTACAGCAAAATTCCAACATTAAGACACTTAAAATCCACATCTCCCCATAGAAACCTCCCCAGTGCTAAACAAACCATGCATCATTTTGTTCTTTATGGTTATCAGTGGATAAAATTGTGGCATCTTAGTATAGAAACCTATCTGGGTAAGTTATTCACACACACACGAACGAACGAAGCCAGATATCTAATGAAAATACCTGTTGAAAATATCTGCTCATAAAAACATGCTCTATTGGGTGAAAAAAAAAACAATCCTTTCATCCAATTAAAAAAAAGCAATAAAAGTAAAAGCAATTAAACATAGTAGCTCTTATAAAAGGGGCAGGTAAGGACGCTATGACTTGCATACCTGAGGTATGATTGACATTTTCTTCCTTAAATCGTGAAGTCCAATTTCAGTTGTCAAGATCTTATCAATCCAAATTTTACCTTCGGGTTCTGACAGTCTAAAAAGGGCCGAGATGAGGGAACTTTTTCCAGCTCCGGTTCTTCCCACAATGCCAACCTACAGAGAGATCCAGGAGGCAGGATTAAAAAAAAAAAAAATCACAAGATGCAGCAAAACTAGGAGAAAACTTTCGGTTTTTGAAGAAGAATTAAGGACATTCTATATTGAGTGTAGTCTAAGACTTTCCCAACCTCAGCACTGATGACCTTCTGAGCTGGATACGTCTTCATTTTGGGGGCTGCCCCAGGCATTGTGGGAGGTTTGCTAGTATCCCTGGGCCCTACTGCATAGATGCCAGGAGCACACTCCCAGAATGATACCACTGAAAATGTCACTGACAAATGTCCTCCGGGGCAAAACTGCCCCTGGTTGAGATCCACTGCTCTAAAAAAGAGTTAAAAATAACAGAATTCTTTTACTGGCATTGAAAAGTCAACAGTCTCCTAAGTGGCCCATGAAAAGGCAACTTTTAAATTAGCTTTACTGGCAGGATCTGAGTAATGTGAATTTCTGATAATTTCACAGGGATATTAATTCAAGACAAAGGTGTCAGAAGTGACATAAACGAGTATTCATTCTTCCAGAGTTCTATTATTTAAGATAACATACTCTTTGGTAGAGAAACTTCCAAATATTAAATATCTGACCATATTTTGTCTCAAAAGGAAATGTTTTAAAATTCTGAAGTGAAGATTGCAGTGTCTTAAAAGACACTAGCAGCCAAAACACACATAATGAGATCAACAACACAAATAACATTTGCTGTTTACGTAAGGCCTTTCATCTGCACAGTTCAAAAGGCATTCTACAAACTAATTAATACTTACAATTGTCCCTTGAGAAACATTTGTGTCAAGTATCACTCCTCTATTAAAGCTGAGAGAGAGAGAAATGAAGTGCACGGCCAATACGATCAAAGAATCAATAAAATGCAGGAAAAAAGGTGGGGGCAATACCTCTATATTGTAAAAACTGGCTTTCACATGTGTGCATATAAATCTGTATGCAGAAACTGGCCTCTGCGCCAAGGACCTTGCCCACCTGCAAATTTCCTGGTGGGAACTTCCCAAGAAATGACATCCTCCTTATTTAGGAATCTGGAGTCAACGAAGGACATAAAAGATGCCTTCAATGATTTGTCGATTATTTCATAAATTTTAAAACTCACTGCAGAACTTTACTGAGCACTGGGTATGTGTTGGGAATGTTACATATTACCTCATTTGAACACCTCCACAGCTGTAAAGTCAATCATGGCATTTCCACAAGGAATTTTATCTTTAAAGAGATACGTGTACAAAATATTAAAATGTAAATGTTTAAAAAGTGGCTTTAGCTAATTGTATAACCTTTGCAGTCATATTCTACCTTATGGTAAATCCTAGTTTATACTTTATAGGTGGCCCATTTTCTGCACATAGGTACATCTGGGTGGGGGTGTGTGTGTGTGTATATATATATTTGAATTTCTGAGATAATGTCACAGGGATATTAATTTCACAGGGATATTAATTCAAGACAGAGGTGTCAGAAGTGACATAAACAAGTATTCATTTTTCCAGAGTTCTATCATTTAAGATGACATAGTCTTTGCTAAAGAAACTTCCAAATATTAAATACCTGACTATATTTTGTCTCTGTCACACACACACACACACACACACACACACACACATATACATACAGTGTGTGTGGCTCATGTGTGTTTCTGAGTAAATCAGCACATACCTAGACACAGACAAATGCTGTGTTTGTGAGAATGTGTGGACACTCACATTATCAGCTCTATGGGAAACTGATCCATCTGTGCAAACCTGGACATTTGTACGCTATTACTGGTAGATGGCCAGGATGGACTCCTTAAAGGTAGGGACACTGAGGGCTGCCTACAACCATAAGACTAGGCACTCCACACTCAGGTGAGGACATAATCAGCAAAAGGCAACCAAACAAAACCTGGCTCTGGTTATTTCTCTTTTCAAAGTCATCAAAATTATAGTCTCCAAGTCTTTCACAAGTCACCAATGGGTTTTACCAAATCCTATGGAGAATATCACTAATATCAGTAAGTTTACATTCATAACACCAAAAAGACACTTAGTCTTATTTTAATTGCTTTGCAATTGACCCTTTTTGTTTTCCCAACTGGGCCAAGAGTGGTCTCTTTGGGCAAACATTAGACATTTGTACGTGGGTCTCTCTTCATATATGAAACTCAACATATATGATCAATATATGATCAACATATATGATCAATACCCAACACCCCCCTCAAAACAGCTGCTGCTTCTGACTCCTCCATTTTAATCCAATAAATTCTTCCCCAAGTTCACAGGCTCAAAACATGCACCTCCCAGCTTTCCCCAACTCCAAGCACTAAAAATATTACTTGTTCTGTTTTTTGACTCAATATCCTCATTTTAATTTCTGCAACCATTACCTGAGTGCAAGGCTGCATTAACATCTGAAAAAAAAAAAAAAAAAAACGCTTTTGCTAGTTATAAAAAAAAAAAAAAAAAAAAACGCTTTTGCTAGTTATAATCAGTGCAAGTGAATTTGAAAAATAAATAAATGCTGGCCACAACCCCAGCAATCTGACAGAATCCTTGTCACATGTTAATACCATTTCTTTCTGAACTTGAGTGTGAGTTATCTACGTTCCTAAAGATATAATCTCATATATTTAGGCAAAATGAGAATATGAACAGATTATTGTAATCTATTTTCATTTATTATTTAATAAAAGTACTTACTTCAGTAGCTATGTATTACAGTATATGGTTATTTATTCAACAAATCCCCTATTTGTGGATGTTTAGGCTCCAATATTTCGCTATTGTAAATAATACCATGTTAAATATGCTTGAAGCTACATCTTTGCAAACAACCTTAATTAGTTTCTTAAAATAAATTCTTAGATGTGGAATTGCTGAGGAACAGGTATGAACATTTTCAAAGGAGGCTGTTAAGTGATGCCAAACTACCCTCCAGAAATATGATACCAATTTCTACTCCCACCTGTATCCCTGCAAATTCACTAAGCAGGGTGTTACAGCTTTGTTTTAGTCAACATTAGTTTGATTCTACAAAGTGGAATCACTTGCCCCATCACATCTTGCCAGTAGTACATAAAATCAATTGGCTTCAGGCCTTTAGCGTCTTCCCTGTGCACTCAATTCTCAGATTAAACTTCCGAAGTACAGCTCTCTGCCTGGCACTCCACACTGGGAAAGCTCCTCTACAAAACGGTCCCAACTAACCTTTCCATCCTTAGCGCCATGAGCTGGCTTGAGTTGGCGGGGTGGCTGTGAGGACTAAGTGTGCACATGTGTGTTATTCACCTGGTAGTTCATGCCCCTGTACACTCAGAGGTGCCTAATTCTTCATTCACATCAAATCACGGCATCGAGCCTTGGCATATGCCATTGTGCCTTTCACATGAATTTCGACCTGCTGAAATTCTAACCACCTTCCAAAGTCTGTTTCAAATGCATAATTGCATTAAAATCCTCCACCTGTCCCCATGTGGATTTCGCCCACACTTAATGGCTGTCGTAACACCTTTTCTAAACAGCCATAAAATCTGTGAACTCCTTCTGTCTTACAGAGCAGTCATTTATATGCTCCTTTGTTTCCTCTACTAGGTGGTATGTGCTGTGGGCAGGACCTATATTAGAATTAGCTCTGTATTATTTGTATCACCTGTGGTGTCCTGCAAAACACAGAAATCCCCCAGAGAGTTGAGCATTTAACTCAGGCTTGAAACACTTATGGGAAATCTGTTGCCATACTGTTCAGGTATACAGTAAGCTGGGTGTTTTACACCTCTTATCTTGCTTAAGTATACAACTCTAATGGTTAGGCCCTATCACTTGCATTTTGCAAAAGAGAGAAATAGAGACTTAGTAAGATTGATTAAACTGTCTGAAATAACTGAGCCCCTAAGTGACGGAATGGGACTGAAACCCAGGTCTGCCTGCCTCTTGCCCATTCTGCTGATGGCCTCCCAATCACTTGGATAGCCTGGCTCTGTATTCCCTTGGTGTAGCTAGAAGGGATACAGCAGGGAGAAGTGTGGTTGTATTTAAAGGCACTGGCCTGCCACACTGGTCCTGTTGTCACACATTTAATGCATGCTGTGGACATGGATGAGTATAAAAAGGTGGCTGGGACAAGAAGATGACTACTTTGAGCCAAGACGGTACCTGTATTAGGGTGGATTACAGCTGTTGACAGGAAGAACTGGCACCCACAGAAGAGGCTGGGAGAAAAGCCTGCAGCTACGTTGGACATGGGGCAACTGGGAAACAGGCCAGACAGACCTAGTGTACTGTCTGGGGCAGTGAGACTCCTTTTGATCCCATCAGTAGTGAAGGGAACTCAAACACATGGCTGTGCTGAGCTGGTATGAGGACAGAGACTGCTATTCAGGGAAGGCTGTATGGTGGGATGAAAACTGTGATAGAAGACAGAGATGACTGGAAAGGTGCAAATGAATGCATAAACATGGAATCACACAGAATTAAATTGTAATGTAAATTCATAATTTGCAGAATATAAAAGTAAAAAAAACAAAAACAAAAACAAAAAACAAAAAACCTGTCGGGTGGCACTTGGCCCAGGACTATCCAGAGTCTCATGTTTAGTCATAAGAGGGGCTGGGGAAATCCATGAGCTCAAGTTGTCAAAGGAAGCTTCTCGGAAATCACAGATTATTAGTCATCAAAAATTGTTTAGCGGAGAGTGATGGCTCTACTGCAGGGGCGGGAGTGGGGGTGGTTCTTGTCCCAATGCAATTGTAATCAAAAGGGTGGGGTGGGCCTGAGAGTCTGCATTTCTAACATGTTTCCAGCAGAGGCAGGTGATGCTGATCCCGGCCCCTGAGATGAGCAAGTAGGCAGGGGAAGTGGGGCAATCTGGCTGTGAGAGGAGGGGTTTCTCAGCAAACATTAATGTAAAAAAGGAGAGAATATAAGAAACTAATATTTTGCACATTATAGCAAGGTCTAGTACACATCTGTAAAAATGTATTATCCAAGTAATAGCTCTGAGCAAGGGGAAAAAAAATAACAAACCAAAATCAATCTACCTCTAAAGATGAAAAATGCTTTAAAATGGCCCAGTACTCTCTAAAATGATTAAATCAACCACAAAATCATCTAAATGAAAAATGCATCCAGTGTTTGGAGTGTAACCAGGAAGCTTAGGGTGGTAGATACCTCATTTTAGTGCTTTCTTTTTTACTCGCTATTTCTTCCATGAATTAGAAACCTACTTAGCACCTATTACTTTTGCCTATTTATTATAATGTCCAGGAAATCTGAGCAGATGAAGCAATTGAAAGAGAATGAAGCCCTGTTTCTGCTGTGTGGACACATTCCTACATCCCCGCCGGAAACAATGCCCCTCTCCATCAGCTCCAACAGCAAAGAGACTGCCTGCGATCCTGGGGCCGCAGGCAGGTGTGGAGGAGACACACCCTGAACATACACAGGCAAAGTGGAACCAACTCACCACGATGTTGCCTGAATGCCATCTCTGAATATACAAATGAAGCTAAAGGTGACACTGTGAGTGAACCAGGACACAAATCGAAAGCCAAGTGGGGTTGGGTGCAGTGGCTCACGCCTGTAATCCCAGCACTTTGGGAGGTGGAGGCAGGTGGATTACTTGAGGTCAGGGGTTCGAGACCAGCCTGACCAACATGGTGAAACCCCATCTCTACTAAAAATTCAAAAATTAGCCAGGTGTGGCAGCGGGCACCTGTAATTGCAGCTACTCGGGAGGCTGAGGCAGGAGAATCGCTTGAACCTGGGAGGCAGAGTGAGCCGAGATTGCACCACTGCATTCCAGCCTGGATGACACAGCGAGACTCTGCCTCAAAAGCCAAGTGGTTGCAGCTATAATCCAGTCTTCAAATTCAATTTACCCTCCCACATTTTAGATCTCAGGTAATCCTATGATTTGGGATGGTTTTAAGATGGAACACTATCAATGTGGGGATATAGGTTGTTTTCTAACTTGTACAACAGAGGTTTGTAGATAATTCATATTTTATGGCTTCAAGGGAAATTTACAACGTGGCCAAACTAACAGAATGATATTGATCAGGTAGGACCTAATAAACACCTTGTCTGAGAGTAAGCAGACATCCCCCGGCACCATCAGAACAGAATCTGAGAAACCTTTGCCTTCAGCAAGAGCTACAGCTGATGCTGCCTGCAGAGTGGTCTCCACCCTCCTCACACTCACAAGGTCGCTGGGTAGATAATGACGAATTAGCTTTTGCTGCTTCCCTGGGTATTATCTGGGCATGAATCTGTACATTTATTTTTCATGGCACAAGGGTATCATTCATTCAATTATGACTATAGCCCATTAAATGGGTCTGTGGTAGGAAGCGCTGAGAAGAAAAAGAGCAGTTTTGAAAGTATCTAACACTGACACCCAGAGAATGGGCTATTGGAGGAGCTGTTGTGTGTGTTTTGTTACTGATTTCTTCATACGTGCCTATCCCTCACTCTCAAAGGCACCCACCATGTGCCCTGCAGCATGCCATTTTCTGGGGGCACAGAGATGAACATAAAATGCTCCCTGAATTTAAGAGACTCAGGGTACTGTGAGATGGAATTATAAATCATGCCATCGTGCTATCTTCTTTTAAAAAAAATTGTGGTAAAATACACAAAAGTACTTTATGTACTTTTAAAATTGTAGTAAAATAACATCAAATTATTATAATCACTTTAAAATGTACAGTTCAATTATATTAAATACATTCATGTTGTTGGGCAACCATCACCATCATCCATCTCTAAAACTCTGTTTATCTTATAAAACTGACACTCTATACCCATTAAACACTAACGCCTATTCCCCTACCCTGCCACCCACCATCCTACCTTCTGTCTCCATGACTGGCTACTCCAGGTACCCACTTGTAAGTGGAATCTTACAGCACCGTCCTTAGGTGTCTGGCCTAGTTCACTTAGCATACTGTCCTCAGAGCTCATCTATGTCACAGCATGTGTCAGAATCGCCTTCTTTTTAAGTCTGGATAATATTCCATTATGTGTGTGTATCACATTTGGTTTTTCCATTCCTCGGTCAATGGACACTTTGGCTGCTTCCACCTACTGCTCACTGCAAATAATGGTGTTATGAACACGGGTGGACCACAAATGTTATATTAAAGAATCTGGCCAGGCATGGGGGCTCATGCCTGTAATCCTAGGCATGATTTGGGAGGCTAAGGTGGCTGGATCACTTTAGCTCAGGAGTTCGAGACCAGCCATGGCCAACATGGCAAAACCCGGTCTCTACTAAAAATACAAAAATGAGGCCGGGTGCGGTGGCTCAAGCCTGTAATCCCAGCACTTTGGGAGGCCGAGACGGGCGGATCACGAGGTCAGGAGATCGAGACCATTCTGGCTAACACAGTGAAACCCCGTCTCTACTAAAAATACAAAAACTTAGCCGGGCGAGGTGGCGGGCGCCTGTAGTCCCAGCTACTCGGGAGGCTGAGGCAGGAGAATGGCGTAAACCCGGAAGGCGGAGCTTGCAGTGAGCTGAGATCCGGCCACTGCACTCCAGCCTGGGTGACAGAGCGAGACTCCGTCTCAAAAAAAAAAAAAAATACAAAAATGAGTTGGGTGCTGTGGTGCACACCTGTAATCCCAGCTTCTGAGGAGACTGAGGCAGGAGAATTGCTTGAACCTGGGAGGCGGAGGTCGCAGTGTGCCAGGAATGTGACATTGCACTCCAGCCTGGGTGACAGAGCAAGACTCTGTATCAGAAAAAGAATCTATAAGACGATGTGGAGAACTTAGTTTCAAAGAGGCAGAGATGTCTGAACGGACTGAAAAAGGGTGCACACTAGGAGCAAGGCAGACAGGTGCTTGGGGAGAAGGACAGCACCCTGAGGACAAGGGCTGTGTGTCCATATTGGGAGTTGTAAGGAGAGGGGTGGGAAGGGGAAGAGATTCTACTGTCTTGTTTGTTCTGGTTTAGTTCCTTCAAGAGGATGTCCTAGTCCTAGCCAAGGGCCCCAGGCCACATGTGAAAGGGACATTGCTGATAGACTTAGATGCCTGCAGAATGAGCTCAGAAACCTCCACACAGCCTCCCAAGCCCCTCCTTGCTTTCCTTTCACTGACTTTGAGTGAGTCTCTGGTGCCTTTACTGCCTCCAGCTTGGGGGTCTGATTTCTGAGCACTGATGGGATCATGGGATCTGGGTCTTCCCTGGGGGCTGAGAGCCACACAGGTCCTGTCGGGGTGGGCCTGGGGCTCAGTAAGGTTGCAGCAGCTGCTCACCCAGGCCAGGAGCTGGCCATGTAAAGATCAGATCTGTGATCAAACTGTTTCAGAAAGAAAGAGTTTGCAGTGAGAGGGATGGGGAGGGAAAGCAAAACACAGGTTAAAGGAAGGCAAGAAAGACTAACGAAAGGGCCTGATATGGTTTGGCTGTGTCCCCACCCAAATCTCATCTTAAATTCCCACATGTTGTGGGAGGGACCCAGTGGGAGGTAATTGAATCATGGAGGCAGGTCTTTCCCGTGATGTTCTCATGATAGTGAGTGTCATGAGATCTGATGGTTTTATAAGGGGAAGTTTCCCTACACAAACTCTCTCTTTTCCTACTGCCATCCATAGAAGATGTGACTTGCTCCTCCTTGCCTGCCATCATGATTCTGAGGCCTCCCTAACCACGTGGAACTTTAAGTCCATTAAACCTCTCTTTCTTCTGTAAATTGCCTAGTCCCAGGTATACCTTTATCAGCAGCGTGAAAACAGACTAACACAAGACCAAAGGACTGAGGAGGAGAAAGGCTGGAACAGAAGCTGCAGCAATGGAGAGGAAGAGAAGGACTTGAGAAATGCAACAAAGTAAAAATCAACAGAATTAGACATGGGAGTGTTGGTGCCACAAAGCCAGAGTTGACTTCCAGGAAAAACCCATGAGTAATTAGGTGTCAAACAGAGTATCCTGGGTCACGTTAAGCTCCAGCCCTGAGGCCCGGGGCCCACCAACCACAATAAAGCAGTTCACAGCATGAAGAAAGAATGTTGGTATCCACATTCCATGGTCAGTTTCCAAGACAGGTTAACCTATGTACCACTAATCCCCTTCACACATCCACAAGGAAGACAGCAAGCACACAAAGCACTAAATCTTCTGAAATTGAGAAGAGGCAAGATGCTTTAAACAAACCTTTTCTCGTGATTTAATGAGTGCTGTCAGATGCTTCAGTACCAGAGGCCCATCTAGACTGTACATGAAGTTCACATTGTCAAAGATGATCACTCCTTCATGGGGCCAGGTCGGTGGCGGGCGTTTCTGATATTCCCAAGGTGCTTCTTTTTCAAGGTCTGTGTATTCAATCACTCTTTCTACTGAGATCATCTGAAAGAAATATGACATCCCCAGGGGTTAGGAATGGAGGGTGTCATTTATGGATGTTAAGAGACTGTCAATGAAATGTTCTTCTTTCATACACAGTTGGTTAAGGAGAGAAGCAGGAGACAGACGAGGATGTTGATGACTTACAAATTTGGTTCATCATTGTGTAACACCTTCACTTACAACCACTTCCTTCAACATCAGGTTAAAAGAATGAGAGAAATGAATGCTTAGATTTTGTTTATCCACTTTTCACATCTGTATTAAAGGCAAGAAAATTTTGTAAAGGAAAAGAATTCTCACAGCCACCAATCAAGAATATTTTGCTGGCTGGGCGCGGTGGTCACGCCTATAATCTCAGCACTTTGGGAAGCCGAAGTGGGTGGATCACCTAAGGTAAGGAGTTTGAGACCAGCCTGGCCAACATGGTGAAACCCCATCTCTACTAAAAAAACAAAAATTAGGCGGGTGTGGTGATGCATGCTTGTAATCCCAGTTACTCGGGAGGCTGAGGCAGGAGAATCACTTGAACCCGGGAGGCAGAGGTTGCAGTGAGCCGAGATCGCACCATTGCACTCCAGCCTGGGCGAGAAGAGCAAAACTCTGCTCCCTTACCCCAACCCCCATTAAATAATCTTTTGCTATAGAAGGATCACCTGATATAGATAGGTTAAATTGGATGATCATGAAACCTCACTGCAATAATTACTCAACTTTTGCTCTACGGGAAGAATGAAAAGATTTTCAGGTTCATTGCTTTTCTCCCTTTAGGGGAAGGTGCAAATATTTAAAACATTGATTAAAGCCTCCTATACCACCATAAACTAATACCCTTTGACTAACACCTTCCAAGAGGTGGCTTTCTGTACCACGAAGGCACACCAGCAAACCTCAGGCCTGCCTTCCTTCTGCTCATCACATAAGAGAGTAAACACTGGAACTGGGAGAGGAGGAGACCCATTAATTAAATATAAACAACCTCAAAATCCTGAAATCTTCTTTTACCAGGAATGAGGAATTACCCATTAAGAAACAAAAATAAACAGGCTTCTAAGAAATTAGCTTATATCCTCTCTAGCATTTCTGAACCTCCCTCCTACAGAGACATTTATTACATCTGAAAAAGCTTGTGATAAATATAAAACCTGCTGACATAGCAACCATAAGACTCAGAAAAAGATGTATATATTTTATTTTACATTAACTTAAAACAGATGGAGGATGGATCTTAAAAAAATCTGTTAGCAAAGATGTAAAAATTACAGTTTTAGTATTTCACATCAGAATGGCTTTTATACCTTTTAATGGCAAGGAGACTTGAAAAAGCAAAGAACGTGAAGATAAATATTACCATATTCTCAACTTCGGCACTTTGTCGAACACACCACTGAAACATCCCCATGAGTGTGAGGGCATAGGACAGCGCCAAGCCCACCTGCCCGGCATCCAGAGCTACATAAGGAGGAAGAAGGGAATAAAGTCAGTCTCACTTCACACCTAGGCCTGGCTCCTTCTGCCACTTAGCAAGAGGAACCCTTCATGATGTCAAAACAATTCTCATATAATGACATTTATAGCTATACTTTTACCGTTTGTTGCTTGAGATCAAGAGACAATGGGGAAAACAACACTGTATATTCAGAAAAATTATTAGATGATTTTATGAATTCCAACAGGATCGACATACATTTAATTAACCGCATTATATATGCAAGAAATAATGTCATTATTCAGACATTCATTATTATGGTTTCAAAGCCCATTACATTATTCCACTTTCTACGTGCAATGCAACCACAGCTGGAAACCACTAAAAACAAAGCAATAGGTTGTAAGTGCCAATGTTTTTGAGACTAAAATACTACTCTCCTTGTTCCATTAATAAGTATTGTAATGCACCGTTGTTACTGGGGTGGTGAACTCATGCCATGCTTGTCTGGCACCCATGTGGCAGTGAAGATAATACTCTTTCCTGCTGAGAATTTTTCTCAACCTCATGCGCCAGGCAACTACAAACAACAGATACAAGCAGTTGGAAAGCTAACACCATAAGCTGGACAAAATGCTTCAGAATAACTTGGTTCTCTCTTCGCAACTACCAGACGCTAACAGGAATGTTCAGAATCTCAACTGCGCATACCTCAACCCATGCAAAGAAAGATAAAAGAAACCCCTCAAGACCCAAATGACTCCTTAAACGAGTCACACTGCTGAATCCTATCCAACCTGACACACCGTAAATGATTTAAATACACTTCGTTAGGACCAAACAGTTATGTAGTATTAGACGAGGTGGCAAGAGTGTAATTTAATAACTGTAAACACAGCTATAAATTGTAATCATACCATACATAGTTATTCACATCTGTACTTACTTTTTGCCAGAATCAGGGACCCAAAGGCAACGACGATGACAAACATGGCACAGATGGCATCCAGACGGACGGCGAACCAGCGGGATGTTGTCAAAAACAAGAACCAAGCCTCTGAATTTGAGAACGGTAACAAGCATGATGAATAAGTAGAACCGTATTCACTGCATTGGATGCGAGAGTGCGTTTTGCTCAGCTGAGCTGCAGAAGATGTTTACATGGAGTTGGGCAGCAAAGTTGCACACCCAAGGAACCTGTAGATTCCAGAAAGCTAAGTGATACAGGCACTATACGATACACATACACAGTGGTATATGATGGCTTTGAGTGAAGATGCATGCAAATGTGAAACCCAGGAATATGATCCTAATAAAGAACTGAGAAAAACAGTCTCATAAGGACATCTCTTGCAGTGCTGAGAGGTACTTATGTGAAGTGCATCTCACGTGAAGTCCACCCACGCACACGATTGACTGTTTCAGTTCTCCAATAGCAGAGTGTAGTCCCCATTTACTTCTCCCACCTTCCATACTTACCAGAAGGCCCGCGCACACTATTGCTTAGGGACTGTATCAAAATGACCTCACTAACAAGATTTGCATGTGGTTTTTTGTTTGTTGTTTGTTTGCTACTTTTTTCCTTTTAGCATGTGGTTTTTAAAGTGCCATTTAATCAGCAAGATAAAATAAAGATTGGAATGATGGATCCAAGTTTTGTAGATTTGGTGGAAATTCTGAAATTTCCAAATCGAAAAAATCTTCGCTGATGCAAGGGTCAGCAAACTACAGCATGTGAGCCAGCACTTATTTTTGTAAATAAAGTTTTACTGAAACACAGTCACAGCCGTTTGCTGATGTATTGACGTCTGCTTTTGTGCTACAACAGCAAAGGTGGTTAATTGCAACAAAGACAATAATGGCACACAATGCCTAAAACATTTACTAGGTGGCCTTTTGCAGAAGACATTTGCTGACAGAGCCACAGGCCATGCATGGTGAGAGAAGGACCCTGCAAGCCAGTCAGGAGGCACAAAGAAGAAACCAGCAGCAGCGATTCTGAGAGGAGTCCCAGCCCAGAAGAAGGGGATGGGCGGCGGGGGAGAGGAAGCTGCGCAAAAAAGCAGGATGTGGGGCTGGGCCCTGAGGTGCCAGCCAACAAGCTCATCGGACCAGGGAAGTTAAGACAGAAAAAGCAGCAGATCCTGTCTTTTGAAACCATTTCCAGAAATGGACAGACCTGAATGTAAATCCTGGTGTGCATCAAACAGTTCCTGACACCTCTCTTCTGCTTTGTATGCCCGGATGGTCCAGAGGCCCTGGAGAGAAGATGATAAGTGGGAAAACACTGGGCTCCGAGCTGGGGAAACAGAGACAGAGAATACCGCTCAGTGAGGCTGGATGCAGGGAAACCAGCGGCCTCCCCAGCTCCACGGTCACGCATCTACCAAACAGCACACGCAGGCTTCCTTGGAGGCTTCATGTTTCAAAGAGAAATAAATGCTCCCAGTAGCCTGAGGGGGCCCTGCCACTCTAATCTCAAGCTCCTGCTCAAACCACACCTCATATAAGGGGCCTGGAAATAAATGTTTTATCTTTGACCACATTCAAATCTAGTTCTAATTCTTTCCTTCCTAACTCAGTCTTGCAGGTCCTTCTCCTCTCCGTACTCTTCCGTGACATCTCTTTAGACAGAAATGGTATTTCTCTGATTTTTGAGCCAGTAGGATTTTTAAAAACAATTCTCTGTTACAAGTACTCACCATATTGAATTACAATTAGCCATCTATGTGTCTCTCCCCACCTTAAATTGTTAATTTCTCAAGGGTCAGCTATAACCATTGCATCCTGGTAACTGAACGGTACCTGGCACAGGACAGGCACTCAGTAAGTAAGCTGAACAGACAGCCAGTCACGTCCCTGCATCCTGGGGAATCTTCTGTGCCCACTCATGCTGGAAGAGTCCTTTATGAACTCCATGGACCTGGGTGCTGCAATGCCCTTGTGCCGTGCCCAAGGAACCTGCCCAGCCAACATATCTCTGAATGGTCTTAACACTGGCTCCAGGAACCTGATGGATGTTTTTATGACTGCTGAAAACTTGTCCTGATGTCTGGAGGTCTCCATGGCATATGCCATTGCCTTTTTCAGAATCTGACTGTGGTCTCAGTGGGTTCATTGCCTCTACAGAATTTTAAAAGGTGAATTCTCTTTTGTGTGACTTCTTTTTTCTTTGGGAGCTGGATGTCCCGCGAGGTTCACTGACCAGCTGCTCTACCTTGGGCCATTGTGTTTGTGTGGTGTTATTTATTTATTTATTTATTTATTATTATTTTTTGAGATGGAGTTTTGTACTTTTACCCAGGCTAGAGTGCAGTGGTGTGATCTCGGTTCACTGCAACCTCCGCACCCACTCCCCGCCCTGCACTGGGTTCAAGAGATTCTCCTGCCTCAGCCTCCCGAGTAGCTGGGATTGTAAGCATCCACCACCACTTGCAACTATTTATTGTATTTTTAGTAGAGATGGGGTTTTGCCATCTTGGCCAAGCTGGTCTCGAACTCCTGACCTCAGATGATCTGCCAGCCTCGGCCTTCCAAAGTGCTAGTGTTTTTTTTTTATTTTTTTTGAGACAGGATTTCACTCTGTCATCCAGGCTGGGTGTAGTGGTGTGATCATAGCTCATGGCCACCTCAAATTCCTAGGCTCAAGAGATCCTCCCACCTCAGGCTCCCAAGTAGCTGGGATGAGAGGTGCGCACCACCATGCCCAGATAATTTTTGAGTTTTTCATAGAGATGAGGGTCTTCCTCTTGCCTTGGCTTCCCAAAGTGCTGGGATTACAGGCAGGTGTGAGCCACCATTTCCAGCAGGCCATTGTGTTTCAAGCACACAGTTTGATGACTACCAGGACATACCTCCCTCCTGCATGGCAGGGGACATGCAGGCTAGCTACTTTTGGGCAGGGATGAATTCCTGAGAGTTTCAATTGTCCACCATGAATTAGGCCAATACTGGGGCAGGTGCATGTTGGGGACAAGTGACCTGGCACCATGTCTTTAACATTCTTTACTGGGATAAACAATTTATGCTTTATAATTAGCAAACACTGACTTTGTTACCTGTGAAGCTCCCAGAGAAGACCCTATTAGTAAAACATGGGGTGTCTGGGAGAATTTTTTTTTTTTTTTTTTTTTTTAGACAGGGCCTCACTCTGTCGCCCAGGCTAGAGTGCAGTGGTGTGATCTTGGCTCACTGCAGCTGCAACCTCCCAGGCTCAAGTGATCCTCTCACCTCAGCCTCCTGAGTAGCTGGGACTACAGGTGTGCCACCACACTCAGTTAATTTTTGTATTTTTTGTAGACATTGGGTTTCGTCATGTTGCTCAGGCTGGTCTCGAACTCCTGGGCTTGAGCAATGAGGCTGCCTCAGCCACCCAAAGTGCTAGGATTACACGTGTGAGCCACCGCGCCTGCCCTATCTATCTTACAGGTGGTGGTTACATATGTTTTATAAAATGATGAGGGGTAGAGTGGGAGTAAGGGGTGGAGGGAATGGAAAATTTAAGAGAAAAACTCTAACTCATTTTCTGGGTCGGACTCTTAGTCCAGCATCCTCCAGCAACCACATGCCCATCTGTGCTACAGCTGACTCAATACCAGTGTGCACACTGTACACACAGGCACTGCACATTTGGAGGTGCTGGGGTACCAGTGTGTCAAGACATGGGGGTTCCACATACATCAAGAGTCCAGAGTCCACAGTTCTGGAAGTGAAGAAGGAGCAGGCTGCCAGGTATGAGACACTGGGGTTCTGAGAAAGTGGGAAGCCCTGGGTTGGGGAAGGCAGATGGAGCTGGAGGTTACTGACTGTCCACCCATCCTCGGGGCTCTTTCCTGGCTGATACATCTGACTGGGGGCACTGTCTTTTAGGGGCCCTCTCCTGTGATAGTGCTTTAACACACCAGACCTTCCCTGAGCATATATTCCCCACCAGAATGTGATCTGGCACTTCCCTTATATCTAATTCAGGCAGAGAGCCTCCCGCGAGTCCACAGGGTTCTCTCTATTCTCTATCTCTGGCATCCACAATGTCCTCACTCTTCAACACGCACAGTAACCTTTTACTTGTTTTGTGTCAGCTTCGTATAACCTGTAAGTTTGCACTGGGAAGGTGGCAGGTGATATGACCATAAGAGGACTGAGCTGGTGCTTCTGTAAGAGAGGCTGGATGTTCTACACAGGTCTTTTCTGCACACCCCAGATGTTCTAGCCTGCACCCTGGGACTTGGTCAATCTGGAAACAGGGTGATATTGGAAATAACACAAGAGAATTCCAAGCTCCATTTCTCTACAAAGAGTTTGGCTCCCAGTATTCAGAGAAATCACTAGAACCATGCTCTTACTTCCAGAGCAAGGGAGTGCTGTGACTGAACACGTCCATCATATAGAGAATGCCACTGAGAAGGAAGGAGATGTGGCAGTCAGGGGGACAGAGTTCTGGAATGAAATCCTTCAACATGGCTATTGTCATTTGCTTTCCTTATCAGGAGATCCAAGCTGCCACTGTTTTATCTCCAACTGGGTTTCAGGGCAGGGTCAACTTGAGAAAGTAGGTACCATCCCAGTTTTGAACACCTGGGAATATCATGAAGATCAAGCTACACACTTTAATTCACACCAAGTTACCAAGGTACAGCAGAAATCTGCAACCTTTGAAAAGATAGTCCTTTCTCTTTCACACCCCACTTAGGGCTGAGAGGGCTGTCAGTGAGGGTGAGCTGGGAGGTCTGCAAAGACAACTAACTAGCACCGAGGGAGAGCACATGCCAAGCCTCAGCTCTAATGCACTAGTCAGCAGTTTCCGGCTGACACAACCTGCCATTTCACAAGATCAACAGCTGTGTTTTCCACAACGCAGAGAACTCTTTAGGTGGCACTCTACAGAGATTTTCTGTCTTCTCTGAAAAAGAACATGAAAAGGAATTGCATGCAAAGATCTGGTCTACCAGTCTTGCTGCAGGGTACTGATGCTGTGTGGGACCTTTGAGGGTTATTATGGTTTTAATTCTCAAGGCTATAATGCCTCTGGTAGTTCCTGTATGTTCAAGGTTTCCAAGCAGTCTCAGGCAACCCTCATAAGAACCCAACAGGGAAAGTATTATATCCTTGACAGAGGGAAAAACAGACTTGAGGCATCAACAACGCTGCCCAACGCTGGGTGCAGTGGCTTATGCCTGTAATCCCAGCACTTTGGGAGGCCATGGCGGGTGGATCATCTGAGGTCAGGAGTTTGAGACCAGGCTGACCAATATGGTGAAACCAAGTCTCTACTAAAAATACAAAAATTGGCCGGGCGCAGTGGCTCAAGCCTGTAATCCCAGCACTTTGGGAGGCCGAGACGGGCGGATCACGAGGTCAGGAGATCAAGACCATCCTGGCTAACACGATGAAACCCCGTCTCTACTAAAAAATACAAAAATCTAGCCGGGCGAGGTGGCGGGCGCCTGTAGTCCCAGCTACTCGGGAAGCTGAGGCAGGAGAATGGCGTGAACCCGGGAGGCGGAGCTTGCAGTGAGCTGAGATTCGGCCACTGCACTCCAGCCTGGGCCACAGAGCGAGACTCCGCCTCAAAAAAAAAAAAACAAAAAAAAAAAAACAAAAATTAGCCAGGTGTGGCGGCATGTGCCTGTAGTCCCAGCTACTCAGGTGGCTGAGACAGGAAAATTGCTTGAATTCGGGAGGTGGCAGTTGCAGTGAGCCAAGATCATAGCCACTGCACTCCAGCCTGGGCGAAAGAGCGAGACTACATCTCAAAAAAGCAAAAACAAGAAAACAACAACAACAAAACCACTGCCCAAGGTTAAGTAAAGTAAGCCATGCAAGTGGTAGACTCGGGCATTGGACTCATATCTGTTTTATTTCCAAGGCAGTGCTTTTAATCTGAGCCACAGTATCTCAGAGACAGAATAATCAGAGTCAAAGATTCTCATGCACCCTGAGGGCATTTTTCTCCAGACTTCGTAGCCCACATTTTAAAAATCCCCAAATCTTACTTAGCTAATATCCAACCGCCTTCCCTATTCCTGTGCCGCTTACTAACCACCTTGCATTGAACAAAGTCCCTGGGAATCTAGGATGAACAAACTCAAGGATCTTACAGTCTAAAAACATGGGACACATGAGTTCACGCTCATGGCAGACGTTGCTAGCAGATCACAATATCTTTACCAACAGAAATTTGATATGGCTTCACATTTCAGGCATTGCCAAATGAGTGGAGGTGGCTGGAGAAATGCAACCAAATGCCATTCCGGTTTTTATGCACTTCTCTATGACTGACTGTTGATATGGTCACTTTTGCAAAAATAAAACGATCAACTGCAGATTTTTTTTTTTTTAGTTTCATTCTTGTTACCCAGGCTGGAGTGTGTGCAATGGTGTGATCTTGGCTCACCTGAACCTCTGCCTCCCGGGTTCAAGTGATTCTCCTGCCTCAGCCTCCTGAGTAGCTGGGATTACAGGCATGTCTTACCATGCCCGGCTAATTTTGTATTTTTAATAGAGACAGGCTTTCTCCATGTTGGTCAGGCTGGTCTCGAACTCTTGACCTCAGGTGATCCGCCCGCCTCGGCCTCCCAAAGTGCTAGGATTACAGGCGTGAGCCACCACGCCTGGCCCAAATTTGTTATTAAGATTCCTTAAATGCCAGCTATGGCTCCAGAGGCAGTGTGGCAGTCCGACTGAGGCTTTGGAAATCCTTGAGGGCACAAGGATGAAGCTGGGTTATGCCTCCCTGCCATGGCAATCAGGCATCCTGCTTTCAGCTGGTCACTCCAGCAGTGGTCTCAAAAAACAGGATCCACTGCTGCTGAGAAGAAACAGTGGAACTGTGATTTATGGTAGAGACCCACCACTCTGGATGGATAACAATAAACAGTTCCAACCAACCAGCCCCCACAGTTGGTGATCTGAGGGCATGGAGAAAGAAACATGCATATTTAACTCATTGTTACAGCCAAGCAGGGCACAGGAACACCCAAATATGCCTCAGGGGCCATGATAAAGTTGTCAGAATCTCCACATGAAAATGTTTTCAAGCTTTAGGGTACATGCTGAAATTCAAGAGAGAAAATCCTACACCACTTCCCAAAAAGCCTTCCTAAGTCCCCTTTTCTGCACATCCACATGGATCGGATGTGGCTCTTGACACAGACAGAAGTCTACGTCAAGATGTTTCTTCTGGAACAACTGCTTCCTTCAACATACCACAGACTCCCTTAAAACAAGACTCCCGGATAACTTCATTTCATGAGCAGGCCCAAACATAAACATAAAATGCCTGCACAGCCTTGCTGTCCACACACAACGCTGGCTAGGGCCGGTGATCTGCACGAGGAAGGTCTCTCAGCAATTATACTCTGCCTTCCCTAGCAAGTCCTACTGGCCGAGTGTTACTCACACGTGGGCTCCACTGCTCGGCCTGCCCACTGAAAACCTTACAAGACTAGATCTCATGGTAGCTTAGCTGGTTTTCTTGACGATTGAAAAGTTTTTCTACAACTTTTATGGACTGTCACCCATTCTACTTCATGCAGACACTTAGGATAAATGCCTCTTAAGAGTTCACTGTTGACCAGGTGCAGTGGTACATGCCTGCAGTTCCAGCACTTTGGGAAGCTGAGGCGGGCGTATCACTTGAGGCCAGGAGTTAAAGACCAGCCTGGCCAACATGGTGGAACTCCATCTCTACTAAAAATAGAAAAATAGTGGGGTGTGGTGGTGCACACCTGTAATCCCAGCTACTTGGGAGGCTGAGACATGAGAAATGCTTGAACCCAGGAGGGGGAGGTTGCAGTGAGCCGAGATTGCGCCATTGCACTGCAGCCTGGGTGACAGCAAGACTCCAACTCAAAAAAAAAAAAAAGTTCATTGTTAAAAGAGAAACATATATATGTCACAACAAAAGACTGCTTTGTCCTGATAAGCTTCTATTTCCCACTCAGTAGAAGATACTGAAAAAGATGGGACTCAATGTTTCTCTTCTAGGTGTGGCTTCCAGAGAGCTGAGTTGGCATTCATTTGCAGTAACTATCCACAGTGGAGCTTTCCTGATACAAATATCTTCCTTCTTTACTTTTTGGCTATTATCCTTACACCTTTTATTAAAAAGTAGAGCAATTCTACTTTTCTTATGAGTTTGTGTTTTAACAATGATGAAATATGTTAATTTGTGCATGCATAATGAGATGAACTCTGGATTATTTCGCCTCTGCGATTACATGTGGAATAGAGTGATTAATCATAAAATGTCTTCCTCATGATTCCAAAACTAGGAAGTTGAATAGAGCAACAGACTGTATGTTTTCTAAACTGATATCTCTCCTTGTGATCTAAGGGGATTATTTTCAGTGTCCATATATATATAAACAGCCTGAGGGGGAAAAACCTCAAACAGTGACATTAGAACAAGCACCGCTGGTAACAAATGGACAACTGAAAATAACAATGCTTATCTTTTCAAAACGTTTAAAACTGCAACTTACTAGCCATTTTGTGAGTTTGCAAATGTCATAAATTTACCAAATACATTGCTTCTGACACCTCTTTTCCTTTCTCCATCCTTCTCATTTCCTTGTCATTTTAGCATCTTCAGGAAAAGAAAAACACCCTAATTATATTCCTTCTATATTAGTTCCACCATGATCAAATGTTTTATTTCTAAGAAAAATGTTTCATTAAATGCCAGCTTTGTGTAAGGAAGTATGTCATAAACAAGACATGAAGAGTCCCTGTCTTCATGGTGCTGACATTCCTGTAGAATATTATTCCCCATGTGTCCTTCACTCCTTCCTTGTTCCAAATTGCGAAGTTGCACGTTGCATGCTATCAATTCCATATGCTCCAAGGGACACAATAATTCATGATGGCCAATATGTTCGATTACCTAACGTTAGAGAAATTCTGGAAGACAGAGTCTGCCGAATTTCAGGGGCGCTCCGTAATTACGGCATAAACGGAAGCTAGCTAGCATGTCTATACCAACTCGAGTTTCCATACTCACTTGTAGATTCCAGGCGCTTCACATCTCTTGATGTTTCCAAAAAATATCGCCGGAGAAAAATGAAAACGATTCCAAGGGGAACCAAGGGTATTGCGATCCAAGGAATCACAGCCACAGCCACAGAGACCACACCAACCACTTGTAGCAATGTCTGAAACAGCAGAAATAGATGCAGGTTTTCCTTATCATGTCTTCTTTTCAAAAACGCTTTCATGAGTTGTTGTTAGGATTATACTCCTTTCCCCAAAAGACTTACTGTAGTACCAGGGACTGCTTTTCCATTCAAAGGAATAACAAAAGTATAGGTGGTCCTGATGATATCCATTACACACCTGCCATGTGCCAAACACTATGATATGAACTTATCCCTTAGTTTTGTTTTTTTTTTTCTTTTTTTGAGATGGAGTCTTGCTCTGTCACCCAGGTTGGAGTGCAGTGGTGCCATCTCCTCTCACTGCAGCCTCCCGCTCCCATGTTCAAGTGATTCTCCTGCCTCAGTTTCCTGAGTAGCTGGGACTACAGGTGCCCGCCACCACGCCCGACTAATTTTTGTATTTTTAGTAGAGATAGGGGCTTCACCATATTAAAGGTCAGGCTGGTCTCGAACTCCTGATCTCAAGTGATTTGCCCACCTCCACCTCCCAAAGTGCTGGGATTACAAGTGTGAGCCACCACACCAGGCCCCCATTAGTTCTTTTGATACACTCACCAGCCCCATGAGTCAGGCATTATTACTTTCCCTACTTAACGGATGAGAAAACTGAGATTCAGAGTAGAATTTGAATCCCAAACTACCATGAGTCAGTTGACGTTATCGGGGCAATGAGCAAGCAGGCATCACAGACAAGGAACCCAGAAACCTCAGTTATGCACGGGATAAGGAAGTGACTAACTGCAAATTCAGAGCTCAGAAAAAAGGAAGTAATTTAAATCTTCACCTTTGGAAGGGGGGAGTCGTCTCTCTTGGTATCTATCCTTTGCTAATATTTACTGAATGCTGATTGTGTATCTGGCTGTATATTAAATACACATGTATCAACTTGCTGAAATCTCACAATATCGCTATGAAGTAGTATTACTACACCATTTTACAGATAGAGACACAGAGGCACAAGGAGAAAAAAGTAACTTGATCAAGAACACACAGCAGCAGTCACAGAGCCGGGGAGCATGCATCATCAGCCACTACATTTTAGCTTGTCCCCAGCATACGGCTAGCTTTTTATTCATCAAGATACAATCCTTGAATTTGTCTTTAATTTTTCCTCCAAACACACTTATATAAGAAATTAGAGTTCATTAACATGCCCAATAAAGAACAGATAAGAGAAATGTAATAAAATTTTTACATGTTTTAAAAGATCTGAGACTTTTTAAATTACAATATATTGAAATTTGTATTGTCAGAAATTTTTGCCTTCTATTTATCTTATGTTTAGTAGCATTGAGGAAGAGGTTTGATAACAATAAAACAACTTAAAATGTCTAACAGTGCTTTTTTTTTTAGCTTTAACACTTAGATATGCATTAAATTTTCCGCCATTAGGAGAGTATTTCAAATGTCTATTTCAGAGGCACGTGATGATGACAATAGCAAATGACATTTATGAGTTGTTTCTTGATGCAAGGCACTGTGTTAACAGGTCTGTGAATGTTCACTTACCCATCACCTCACCCAGCAAGGTGATGTTATCTTTGGAAATTACCTTGGTCTAAAAGGTGAAATACAAAAACAAAAGCAAGAAGCATAAAAACCCAAGACACTGGATGATGCTCATTTCAGTATTCATCTTTACTAGGAAACGTGATATCATGGCTTCAGGAAATATGAGTGCAACTCAAGTTACTCCCTACCTACTCTGAAACCACAACGCTTGCTTCTTGAGAAGGATCGAACAGTAAGGGGCATGCAGATTCACATTACACATGCTCTGAGGCCTCCAAAGTTCACTGTCTTACATAAAAGTACATGACTTCAGCAGAAAGTACAGAGTGCTACAGAAATATAAGGAGAGGCCAGGTGTGGTGGCTCACGCCTGTAATCCCAGCACTTTGGGAGGCCAAGGCAGGTGGATCACCTGAGGTCAGGAGTTTGAGACCAGCCTGGTCTCAAAAAAATTAGCCAGGTGTGATGCTGCGCACTCGAGAGGCTGAGGGAGAAGAACCACCTGAACCTGGGAGCCGGAGGTTGCAGTGAGCCGAGATGGCACCACCACACTCCAGACCGGACGAGAGAGTGAGACTGTCTCAAAAAACAAAACAAACAAAATCAAAGAAATATAAGGAGGAATACATGTACACTTTCTAGAGGTTTCTAAGGAAGACTTACAATTGATTTTCCCAGGCGGGTTTAACAGACAACCAGAAAGTACAGCATGAATAGTCATTTGCGGGTCGCAATCACGGTTTGCTTGCTGCGGGAACACAGGCAATTCTGGTTGTGTCTTCTCAGCACCATCACCTGCATCTCGACCCACTAGCCCAGCATCTGGCCCACTAGGCCACCACAATTTTCTGTACCTAGCTGACAGCCAAGGTACAATTGCCCTACCCTCCCAAAAACCAAGAAGAGGCAACATGTCATAAGGCTTGCTTATATCCAAATCGTAGTACATATGTATTTCACATCCATTATCTAACTTCACTTTCATATCAAATCTAAATAGGAGGGATTATCATCTCCATTTACACAGGAGGAAACTGAGTCTCAGAGAGATTCAGTAACTTCCTCAAAGACAGAAAATTCAGTCATACTGACCTTACGCTTGTTCTTCTAAGACACTATAGCCTACATACATGATTCATATTTTTAAAAAAATTTAATACCTAAATATACCTGTATTTTTATATTTTTTATATTTTTATATTTTATATTTTTGTTTTCTGTATCTTCTAGTTTTTTAGGTTATTTTGTGTGGTATGTATGTGTGGTGTGTGTGTGTGGTGTGTGTGTGTGGTGTGTGTGTGTGGTATGTGTGTGGTGTGTGTGTGGTGTGTGTGTGTGGTATGTGTGTGGTGTGTGTGTGTGGTGTGGTGGGTGTGTGTGTGGGGTGTGGTGTGTGGGGGTGTGTGTGGGGGTGTTGTGTGGTGCGGTATTGGTGTGGTGGTGTGTGGGTGTGTGTGGGTGTGGTTGGGTGTGTGTGGTGTGTGTGCGTGTGTGTGGGGGTGTGTGGGGGGGTTGTGTGGTGTGTTGTGTGGTTGGTATGGTGTGTGTGTGGTTGTGGGTGTGTGGTGTGTGTGTTGGTTGTTGGGTGTGTGTGTGGTGTGTTGGTGGGGTGTGTGGTGTGGTGTGGGTGTGTGGTGTGTGTGTGGGGGTGTGTTGGGGGGTGTGTGTGGGGTGTGTGGGGGGTGTGTGTGTGTGGTGTGTGTGTGTGTGGTGTGTGTGGGTGTGTGTGTGGTGTGGGTGTGTGGTGTGTGGTGTGTGTGTGGGGGTGTGTGTGTGTGGTGTGGGTGTGTGGTGTGTGTGTGTGGGGGGTTATATCTGGTCTCTCAGTGAGGTGACCACTCCCAGGCTCCCAGCTAATTAGGATATAACAGACTTCTCAGCTCAAAAGAAGAGCTGATCTTTAAAAAGTCTTAAAATATTTGCTAATAGAACATGGCAACACGTACTGATTTAAGAATTACTGTTTACATTTAAAAGTCATAAAAAGATGAGTTCTAGACCCAGAAAACAAAATGACTTAAGAAAAAAAGAACCACATTTTCATAAATACATAAAACCTCAGGACACAAAATGAAGGTTGACTACATTTCATATTCAATATCTATATTTGAATGGTAGTGAAAAATATAACATTTCCTCAGGCAGACTCTTCTACAATTAATTTTGTATCCAAACATTACAGAATGGAACATATTCTTTTAACAAGCATAATTTTAACTACAATGCCTGTTTGGCATTTAACCACCAAACTGCTTTGAGTCCTGGAGAAATTTTTAGGTATCTATCCACTATTTACTTTAAACTTCATTCTGTGGGATTCTGTTCCAGCTAGTCTTTGTGAAGCTTGTGCCAGTGAACATGTTTTCTATAAACAGCAGTAAAAATGTATTCCTATTTTCTGCAAATAAATATGCCGTCCATCCTTCTGGCTCATTCTGTTCCTTATTTGAACTCTCCCTCTCTCCGTCATCCTTCTATTAGGTACAAGATGAAATATGTATTTAATCATGAGGCCACTTAATCAGTAGATGGTAGTTTCATGATTTGTTTATGGTATTAAAACATAAAATAATGATCATTAAGATTGCTAACACCTCATAGGAACTGGAAAGCTCTTAATTCTGCTGTCAACCACTTAAGAATTGTGTTCTAAGTTGTGATGAGTACAAATCGTCCAGATTGCTTTAAACGATTACTGACTTTGCAGAAGACAAAACTTAGGTGCAATAAACAAAGCAGGGTTCACTTCTTGGTGAGAAATATGGCAAGATTTTCTTCCGATTTACAGAGAAAAAAATTGCCAGCTAATTTTTGATCAGTAAGGTGTTTACTGATATGGTGGCAGAAGAAATTCTTCTACTTATTTATTTTGGGAACACATGAGACTAAAACAAAAAACAATTAAACAAACAAAAAACTGGCCAGGTGTGGTGGCTCACGCCTGTAATCCTAACACTCCGGGAGGCCAAGGCAAGCAGATTGCCTGAGCTCGACACCAGCCTGGGCAACATGGTAAGACCCCATCTCTACTAAAAACACAAAACACTAGCTGGATGTGGTGGTGCATTCCTGCAGTCCCAGCTACTTGCGAGGCTGAGGCAGGAGAAACACTTGAACCCGGGAGGCGGAGGTTGCAGTGAGCCGAGATTATGCCACTGCACTCCAGCCTGGGTGACAGAGCAAGACTCTGTCTCGAAAAAAAAAAAGAAACCACTTCTCAATAAAATGACTAACATAACAGGTTGTGCTCCTGGCTAATACAGGATTTCTTCTGGAGCTACTAAAATTATGAACAGGGTATACAAACCTACAAGAATATTAAGAAATAAAAATGTAATTCTGTCAAGTCATTATCATTACCTTCAATTACAGGATGAATAGAAGCAAAAGGGACAATATGGAAGACACTTAAATGTAAGCTCCTAAACCCAAATACTGACAGCATCAGCACTAAGTCAGCAGATGTAAATTATGTGCTACTGTAG